ATAAAAAAGATGTATTGCATAACATAAGAATATTGAAAAAAACGCTTCTCCTCTCTGTGGTTTAATCTAATCATTAAGATAACGACATCACCCCAATGTCCAACCCATAATTACATCTGAACTCGCGGTAGAAAAACCCACACTGTACAAACTAGATTTAGTGACTCCGTCCATGCTGCTGGATCCCACGCATGAAGATGGTATCCAGGGGGTTCGGAACTGTTGTCGCACTGTCAATCAATCCCGTGTGTGCATTGAGGGGTTTTTCTACAGTAATATCAACACGTATGTTTTACCATTTATCTGAAGAACAACAAGAACAAGAACAAAAACAAAAACATCAACACGGATGAGTGTTTTACCATTTATCTGAAGAACAACAAGAACAAAAATAAGAACAAAAACAAAACAGAAACAAAAACAAGACCAAGAACAAGAACAAAAACAAAATCAAGAACAAGAAAAGAGGCAAGTTGTAGTTTAACTTCAAGAAAGCTCGTCTGTTGCCGGACCCAGCCTTCATTAGATCTGAGTTCTTGTCCGTGCACACGCCGCGTCGCGCTGAGAGGCAAACAAAAAGCGTTGCGAGGAATTAATCACAAGTCAACAGATGGGTTTCACTCGATAGATAATTTCTTCGGAGTTCACATGATAGATTGGGTTTCACTCGATAGATAATTTCTTCGGAGTTCACATGATAGATTGGGTTTCACTCGATAGATAATTTCTTCGGAGTTCACAGGACAGATAGTTTTCATTCGATAGATAATTTCTTCCGAGTTCACAAGATAGATTGTTTTTTCATTCGATAGATAATTTCTTCCGAGTTCACAAGATAGATGGTTTTCACTCGATAGATAATTTCCTCCGAGTTCACAGGATAGATGGTTTTCACTCGATAGATACTTTCTTCGGAGTTTACAAAATAGATTGTTTTTTCACTCGATAGATAATTTCTTCGGAGTTCACAGGATAGATGGTTTTCGCTCGATAGATAATTTCCTCCGAGTTCATATGATAGATGGTTTTTACTTGATAGACAATTTCTTCCTAGTTCTAGTTCACCAAATATGATTTTCACTGATAGATATTTTCTGTTTAGTTCACAACTTTATAGATGATTTTCATTCAA